GCAATATGGTTCATGGGGTCACGAAGAGTCAGACACGACTTAACGACTAAACAACAACAGCAATTTAAAGTTATGGGCAGCAGAACACCAAGGAACTGGTAGGGTAGGCTTTGCGTTACAGATATCATGTCAATCTCTCCCAGGTCTGTCTTCTTCACTGTCTCATTCTCTACATCAGAGTTCCTCAACCTTGGCGACTTGAAGATGTGTGGACTTCAACTCCCAGAATTGAATTCTGGGAGTTGAAGTCCACACATCTTCAAGTTGCCATGGCTGAGAAACACTGTCCTAGGTGACTAGTTAGAATATGCTACATCGAATTTCTTATTGTCTTTCCCATATTTCTTTTCAACTGGGAACCAAAGCAGCCATGAAGATGATGCTCATGACATTCTAGGAAGAAAATAAACTAAATAGGCTAGGGAACTGAGTTGGAAGAAGAGAGGAATCTGATGAGGACTGATACCAACCACAAGCCACACATAACCAATGAGCAAATACTGAGATGTACAATAGAAATGTGTCGACTAAGATGATACAATGGGGAAGAAAGACAGAAGCCTGCACCTTTCTTTACAAAGATGTTTATCTGGCAAAATAAGTCCTCAAGGAACATAACTTAATGTTCTAAAAAAAATTAGGGCATCATTTTTATAATGTAAAGTGACAAATACTAAAAGACAGAGAGAATACTACCTTTGGATTCAATGGGACCTCTGGGAAGGATTAAACTAAATCAGCAGTATTTGGTCCTGGTCCTGGGAATATTTGACAGTGCGTATATACCAACATATCCTTTGTATGGTTTTGTTGTAGCATGAAGTAAGAATAATTACTGGACAAACTAGAGGAAGGAAATGAAATATGAAACCGGGTCATTCCATCAGCCTTCTCTTTTGTACGCATTGCATTCACCTAGTCATTATTTAAGAACTTGAAGTCCACAACTTTTTTCCTCTTCCATCTGCCTCCCTTTTCCTCCCTGTTTTATCCCTTTTACATTGGGGGGGGGGAGTAATTTTCTCTCCCACCCCCCATATGTAAGTTGCTTTGGGTGACTTTTTGTTTAAAGCAGAAGTTTTCAAAGTTTTTCAGGCCATAGAACCTGTTTTTTAAAAAAACCTGGAACTTCATTCACCAAAATAGTGGCTATAATAGATGCACCTGGCTGTATTCAAATCAACTTTTTTTCCCCTCTTAGTCTCTCAAGTTTTCATGGAACCATAGGGTTCTGTGGAACACTTTGAAAAACCCTGATTTAAAGCTTTAAAATGAGCGCTTTAAAGGGAGACTTCTACAGACAGTTAAATGAAGATACAAACATGTTACCTTGTTGTAGCAATGAATTCCTTTCTTAAAGACCAAGCAAATCAATGAATTAATTATCTTTAAAACTACAACAAATTATTGCTATTAGAAAACATTAATACTGAGGAAATTCTTGGTCAATTTTGTCAGCCCATGCCATGAGTCCTCCTTTGATATCCTTAATCGAAATTAAGCCTAGCTCATCATAAGGCAGTTCCTGTAATATTCTCACAGCTTTTTGAGAGTCGTTTCCTAATTTACAGACAACATAAACTGGAAAAACCATACTGCCACCAGCCTTCTGCTTCTCTTCATGTATCTTCTGGTACAAAGACTTTAAACATTTTTCGTCTTTTCTTTCTAGTTTATTTAAAGGCACATGGAGGGATTTTGGCAAGCAGCAGATCTCCACTTCCACTAGTGGACGGACATCAACCAATACGTGAGCGATCTGGCTGTCTAGAATCTTTCTGTATTCTTCTACCGATATCCTCTCTTCGCTAGACAATAAGCACAATCTCCGACACTTATCAGTTGCTGAAGACCCACAGAAAATTTCATAATCCTGCAGGGTCGTCAGGGAGGGCCGGTCCCCACACACAGCGCACTTGGGATCCCTGGGCCTTAGCTTGATGTGGCGAAACCGTCCTTCAAGGGCATCGAAGAGCAGCATCGACCGACTGACGGAGGATCCCATCCCCGAAGCAATCTTGAGCACCTCCAGGGCCTGGAGGGAGCCCAGGATGCCAGGCACAACCCCCAAGACCCCACCATCGGCGCAGTTGGTGACCGTCTCAGGGGGAGGGGGCTTAGGGAAGAGGCAGCGATAGCAGGGCCCCCCCTGGAAGTTGTACACCGTCAGCTGCCCCTCCAAGCGCAGGGCGCTGGCGGACACCAAGGGCTTGCCAGCTAGCACGCAGGCGTCGTTGACCAGATAGCGGGTGGGCACGTTGTCGGAGCAGTCGGCGACGATGTCGTAGGCCCGGACCAGCTCCAGGGCGGTGGTGGGGCTCAGCACCAGCTCGTAAGGCACGTACCGCCCGGCGGAATTCAGCTCTTTCAGCGCGGCGGCCGCCGAGTGCGCTTTGGAGCGGCCCAGGCGGCTCTCCCGGTGCAACACCTGCCTGTGCAGGTTATTCAGCTCCACCACGTCGTGGTCCACCAGCCCC